TCTCCCAATCAGTAGGGGTTTTTGTTTGTTTGTTTTAATGATGGCTGACAGCATGAGGCCAGTGCTCAGAAATGGTAACACAGAGAACAGACAAGTGTGTATCTCACACGTTGCTCCGCCCAGGGCCCAACAACCCCTGGTCCGTCTTCCTCCAGGAGTTTCCTGTGAAGATGTGGCCTTGGCCAACAGCTGCATCCTGCCCACCTCCCCAGGGATGGGGCCCTCCTCCTGTCCTCTCAGCTCAGAGCAAGGCAGGAAGGGAACAGCCGTGATTATGAGAACCTCCGAGGTGCCTGGACGTCCACCCGTGAGGAAGAGAACTCTGAGCCATGAGACGGGTTAGCTCCCCATGGGCTCAAGCACCCTGCTCCAGAGGGCACTCGGCGTTGGCGTTGCCGCTGCAGAGCTAAAAGGTGCACTAAGGAGCTTGCACTCCTGTGTTTTTCCAAATTGGCAGTCTTTACCACCCAGGCAAACTCCACTGCCATACCTAAAGAGAAGGGAACAGCCTCAGTCAGCTGCAAAAATAGTGTTTCCTCCTTGTATGAGTGAGGGAGGTGACAGTCGTTGGGTGGAAGGGCGAGTGCGTCCCTGACAACAATCCCTTCAGAGGCCTGTGCTCCTCTCGTCTGGACGCGCCCTGCGGGGGCCTGTCTGTCCTTCCACTGGCTGTTACCCTCCATCATAGCACGGACCACGACCTCTTCACGCTACAGAATAAAGTCCCTCCTCTTCCCCTCCCCTGTCAAGGTCCTCAGGACTCGTCCCCAACCTAACTGGGGGACACATTGCTACATGTACTCCCCCCTCACAGACTTTTTAAACCAAACCAAGCTATTGGCTGCTGTGAGTGCCCATCTTAGGTGCCTAATGCTGCTCCAACAGAAATATCATGAGCTGGGGGCTTTAACCAGTGCAAATGTATTTTCTCACAGTTCAGGAGCCTAAAAGTCCGAATTCAGGGCACAAGCTCTAGGGGAAGGCTCTCTGTCAGCTCCAGGGGAAGGTCCTCATTTCAGCTTCTATATCTGGCGTTCCTCGGCTCCTTGGCAATTTTTATGTGATTTCTATCCTCCCCCGTTTCTGCTTGCTTCTGTGTCTAATCTGCTTTTTTTTATAACTCAGAAGTGATTAGGTTTAGGGCACATCCTACACTGCTATGGCCTTGTTAACATAACAAAGAAAACCCAAATGGGATGACACCCACAGGGACCTTGTTGTTGTTGCTGGGTGCCATTGAGTTGATTTCGACTCCTAGTGACCCTGTTTAAAAAAAAAAAAAAAAAAAAACCGTTGCCGTCGAGTCGGTTCCAACTCATAGTGACCCTATACCATAGGGTTTCCTAGTCTGTATTCTTTACAGAAGCAGACTGCCACAGCTTTCTCCAGCAGAGCTGCTGGTGGGTTCAAGTCGCTGACCTTTCAGTTAGCAGCCGAACACTTTAACCACTGGGCCACCAGGGCTCCTTCAATCCGTAATAGTATCTCTAAATCTGAAAGAGGCAGGATAAAAGAAATTTCAGGTAACTTCAGAACAAATTTTATTGAGACGACAAAAAAAAAAAACTCTTAATTATGCATTTGGTCTCCCAGTGAAATTATAACAGGAAAGTGAGTACTTGGTTGAAATGGAATCTACAGTGGATGAAGCAACAGAACCCCTGAGAATATTCCTAATCTCACTCAGCCGTCCACTTCACCTCTCCAGAGGAGACCTGACTGGTGGTCTTGGCGTTGTGGTAAGAGGGGACCTAGGTGGGTGGCCGTGACTTGAGGGCAATAACTCACATTGCCATCACTGTCCCTCATCCGCTGATCTCAGCCCTGCGGAGCCTAGATGGCCCTTCACTCAGCCATCTCTTCCAGGGTGGAGCACAGCCAAGCCAGGCCACTTCACTGCCTTGTTTCAAGCCTCTTATCTGACATGTGCATCCTCAGGTTTGGGGGACATGTGGGAATTTCCAGAAATCATCTGCTATTCGATTTGCTTTGCCTGACTCAGTATTTTCCACATTGGTTTTGTGGAAAGGTAACGGATGTAGCACACATTGTAAGAGTCCTGTGATCAGATAAGTTTGGGAAACATGGCGCATGTGTTTTTAACCTTTATTTAATCTAGCTTCCATGAATATTTGATTACAGACCCCACCCCACCCCCACCACACACATACGCATTTACACACTGCTTGAAATACTCAGTATTGTGGATTGAATTGTGTCCTCAAAAAGTATGTATTGTAAATCCTAACCGCTATGCCTGTGGTTATAATCCCATTTGGGGTTGAGTTGTCTTTGTTGTGTTAATGAGACGGGATTAATGTAGGATGAATCTTGAGCCAAGCTCTTCTGAAATATAAAGAAACTAAATCAGAGAGCAGGGAGAGAGATGGGGGAAGAGAGATGCCAAGCCACATGAAAATCGCCCGGGAGCAGAAGCTCAGAAGAGACAAAGACCTTCCTCCAGAGTGACAGAGAGAAAGCCTTCCCCTAGAGCCGGCACCCTGAATTTGGACTTCTAGCCTCCTAAAGTGTGAGAGAATAAATTTCTGTTTGTTAAAGCCACCCACTTGTGGTATTTCTGTTATAGCAGCACCAGGAGACTAAGACCCCCATTAACACCACTGAACACAGTTGGAAAACATCGCTGTAAGTTGAGAGGGTTGAGGTCTTCAATAAACATGCTGAATTTGCATGTTCCTTATCACAGCAGGAACACTGGAAAGCTAGACACTTACTCTGTGGACACTGCTTTTGTTCACAGCTCTTCAGAAGCCTACTTGGAGCCATCATCTTAGTGTTGCTGACATCCTCAGTACTAGTGGAAAATAATCTTTAATGCTGGGTTCAGACTTGGAAACGAGCTGACGTGGAAACGCGTTGTTTCCATCCCTCCCTGCATCCTCCACCCAGCTACAAATCTGGACAAAAAGGTGAGTCAGCAGGGTAATTCTCTCCCTCTCTCTCCTCTCTGTCTCTTTCTCCATCTCTGTGTCTCTCTGTCTCTCTCCTCTCTCTTTTCTGTGTCTCTCCTCTCTGTCTCTCTCTGTCTCTGTCTCCTCTCTGTCTCTGTCTCTCTCCATCTCTATCTCTCTCCTCTCCTCTATCTCTCTCCTCTCTGTCTCTCTCTCCTCTCTGTCTTTGTCTCTCTCTCCTCTCTGTCTCTGTCTCCTCTCTGTCTCTCTCCTCTCTCTCTCCCTCCTCTCTGTTGCTCTCTCTCTCTTTCCTCTTTTTCTTTTCTGGTCAAAAATGGCTTCACCGAAAATACAGCCTGTGTCAAAATATTCCCATGACATATCTGAAAACTACTAAACCAAAATTTGTTCCTTTTGCATCAACCATAACCTCTCAAACACCACATCATTTCTACCAAACGACTTATTTACGTGGCCTTATGTGATAAATTAGTCACGAACAATACTAACACTGTCAAAGAAACAAATCAAATTTGCCTTAACTAGGAATGTTTAATGAACACCTCATCGTAGGACTTTGGAAATATACACTGTCTTCCAAGAGACTTTGACATGTTCTACCTTTTTCTAGATCGTAATGAAATGTTATGCTTCGTCAGCAGCTATGATTTTCTCAAAAGCTATCTTGTTTTTCCTTGAAAGTTCAGAAGAATGTTGAATCTTCTGTTTCCTATTTCTCTTTCAGAGTGTGAGGCCCAGACTTCACATCATCATTGATTTTGCCAAATGAGTTTTTACAAACTCAAATTCTCCTTCTCTACTATTTTTCTCACAAATTACCATTTATTTGAATGAGGCAGACCTCTGGCCACTAAAACTCTTTCAGTGGTCCTGGTGTGAACAAGTGGGTGCTTGGAGCACCATCAGAGGTGTCTGAATACCTTCCTTAAACTCCTCAAGCGAATAAAACTCTTACCACATAACACCATTGTTTTAAGCTTCTTTTAACATATCCAGATTCATTTAACCATAAAAAATTTGACATTAGTTTTTTGGTGTAAATAATGTTCACTTTTTAAGCCTATAGGACTCACCTACTGACCTAACGTTGACTGTTAGCCTCAGAATGCTGGTGGTGGAATTGCAAATGTTTTAACATCTCATTGATAGAGTGTCATCCCTCCCTGGGTGGCGCAGTGGGTTTCTGATCAGTGGCTAATCTAAAGATTGGCAGTTCAAACCCACCCAGCAGTACTGCATAAGAAAGGCCTGACAATCTGCTTCCACAAAGATTACAGCCAAAACCCTATGGATATAAGTTCTACTCTGTAACACACGGGGTTGTCATGAGTTGGAAATCAAGTGGACAGCAACAGATTGTTTATTTTTTTAAATAGAATGTCATGTACAGTTAAGCTTTAAATAGATAAAGAAGTGCATGGGCAGAAATGCATCTATTTTTGTAGAGGTAGCAGAGATGGGCATATTTGTGAAGAAAGACACGTAGATATCATGGCAGGTACAGGCCAGACAGCTGGGATTATGAATCAAAATATTGTATCTGAAAGCTCCGCTAGATCACCTCGGCCCTCTCCTTGTTACTGAACCCAGGAAGGTGGGTCTTTGTCTGGCACACTCAGACTTGCCAATGATCTGGACACCAGTCTTTGAGAAAGAGAGAGTAATTTTATTGCAATGCGCAGAGCAGGGAGCCGGGAGGAAGTTCCTCAGATCTGACTCCCCGAGCTATGGGGAAGCCGGGCTTATATGTAATTTGGGCAGCAAGATGGCGGCCGTGAAGGTGTACTGGGGAGGGAAAATCCTAGAAGGCGGCCAGGAAACAGGAAGTGATGTGGTTCTTGTTGAACCTCTTGCTTTGGAATGGGGTCTGGGTGATGATTTTCCTTCTGATTCGTTCCTCCTGTTGCTGCGTCCTCTGCTGAGGTCAGTCAGTGGTCACAGCTGGCCCTTCTGTACATGCAGGGTGGGCCAAATCTGGCTTGGCCTAGTTTATGGACTAATGGAAGTTTACTGGCATTCGTAGTGCAAGGTTACCTCTTCTAACCCTTTTCTGATGTCTATTTTTAGAAAAGAAAATCTTACCTAAGGGCAGAAGATGAACATTCAGGGGCCGTCATGAAACCACTGGTGTTCCACGTGGATGAAACCACCCCTGCAGTCATGCAAAGTGTCCTCCTGGAGCATGGTTGGAATAAATTTGATAAACGAATGCAAGATGTTGAAGACTGGAACCTGTACTGGAGGGCTTCGTCTTTTCCAATGATCAAGCATGCCAACCTCAAGCCTTGGCAGTGACTGAATCACCACCCAGGAACAGCCAAACTCACCAGGAAGGATGATTTGGTAAAGCTCCTAAAGTACATGAAGGGGGTCTACAGCACTTCCCTTTATGAATTCATTCCTCTGACGTTCATCATGCCCAACGACTATCACAAGTTTGTAGTGGAGTACTCCAAAGAGAGACAGATGCTGGGTACTATGCCCAGCTACTGGATTTGCAAGCCCGCAGAATTATCTCATGGAAGGGGCATCATAATTTTCAGTGACATCAAAGACTTAGTCTTCGATGATACATACGTAGTGCAGAAATACATCTGCAACCCTTTTGTTGTCGGTAAGTATAAATGTGACCTCCGTATTTATGTCTGTGTCACTGGCTTTAAGCCTCTGACCATTTATATTTACCAGGAAGGGTTAGTGCGGTTTGCCACAGAAAAGTCTGACCTCAGTAATTTGCAAAACAATTATGCCCACCTGACCAACAGCAGCATCAATAAATTGGGGACCTCCTACGAGAAGTTCAAAGAAGTGGTCGGCCATGGTTGCAAATGGACCCTCAGCAGGTTCTTCTCCTATCTCCGCAGCTGTGATGTGGACGACCTTCTCTTGTGGCAAAAAATCAACCACGTGGTCATCCTGACGGTGCTCGCCATTGCTCCGTCAGTCCCCTGTGCTGCCAACTGCTTCTAGCTCTTCGGGTTTGATGTTCTGATTGATGACAATTTGAAACCATGGCTCTTAGAAGTCAACTTCAACCCAGCCTTGTCCTTACACTGTTCCACTGATGTGTCAGTGAAGAGGAAACTCATCCACGATATCATCTAATTGATTCACATAACTGGCCCAAGGAACAAGGGGAAAGGATGTGGCCATGCCTCCGAGGGTGATGCCAATGTCTCGTTTGCCAAGAGTGATAGAGGTAGACTCAGTAAGGTGTACAGTTCTCCACCTTATGGGTCTTTCTTACAGGTCACAGGTAGAGCATTCACTAGGGATGAACCCGCTATGGAGAAAGTTGAAAGAACATGTCCTAAAAATACACAGACCTCCCAGCTTACAGAACGAATGAACAAGCAAAATGTACTTCTAGCAATAACAGAGCTGCCCAAGATCAAACCCAAGTTAAGGAGCAGGCACACGCCACACAAGTCCTTCATTCCCTACGGTCCACGCATCCAGGCGCATAGCTGCAAGATGAGCATCTCCCCAGGTCTCCAACCAGACAGCAGAGAAGAGCCTGAACCCCAGGCAGGCAATTTTGTTCTCATTTTCCCTTTCAACGAAGCTACTTTTGGAGCTTCCAGGAATGGATTAAATATCAAAAGGATAATTCGAGAGCTCCGGAAGCTTACAAACAAGCAACCAACCCAAGTGGCCAAAAATGAAACAAAAAGAAGGTGACGTGGAGCTTGGAAACCAAAGACTCATATCCCAGGGAAATCGATAGTTCCAGTCCCATACTAACTACCTCATTGGGAATATATATATGAGGGTGTATATAATTATAACAACTCTGACAAAGTATAACATGTTCAAGTGGTGATTAACCCCCAGCACGTGTTTATTTGCTCAGAGATTTTGGGAAAATAGGAGTCCCTGGTTGGTGCGAACCATTAACACACTTGGCCGCTAACCAGAAGGCTGGTAGTTTGAGTCTACCAAGAGGCACTTTGGAAGAAAGGCCTGGTGATCTATTTCTAAAAAATCAGTCACTGAAAACCCTGTGGAGCATAGTTCTACTCTGACACACATGGGGTCACTACGAGTCAGAGTCGACTTGACGGCAACTATTTTTCTTCTTCTTGGGGTAATATAACCCAGTCCCTTAAGTGTATTGGATATGAGCTATTACAATTATTTTATGTGTTTATCTAACAATGAAAAAATGATTATTATAAACATTTTTAAAAGATTCTTAGGTGACAACTGTCCAAAAAAGGACAGGAATTAACTTTTTGGTTTTTAATCCACCATTTTTTGTTCAAAATTCTTTTTCTCAACTTAATGATCAGTCAGTCATTTAGAGTGAATAAAATTATTGAAAACCCAATAAAAATGCCCAAATGACTCTGAGTTCTTAGATCCCGGCCTGTAAGTCAGACATTGCAGCAAATGGGTCTCCACTGGGGTCCTCATGAGCTTTAAAAAGCTTTAAGAAGCTCCCCTTGATGGTCTGTGACTATTAGCTTATCATCCCAGTGTAGGACGGCAGAACCTTCCAGGCGCAGGTGTGTTACCACTCCAGCCAAATAAGAACGCATCTGAGGAGTTGTAAGACACGCAAGTCCCAGTGCATTTACCTGAAAACATCATGTTGATGGGGGAAACCAAAATGTTCCACCTGAGGCCAAGTGAAAGAAGCCAGACATAAACCATATACTATATAATCCCATTTATACGAAATATCAGCGTTGGAAAATGTATAGACAGAAAGCAGACTGGTGGTTGCCAGGGACTGAGGGAATGGGGGGAGGGACTGATATTGGATGTGGGGCTTCCTTTTAGGGTGAAGAGAGTGTTATGGAACGGGACAGTGGTGATAGTTGAACAACATCGTGAATGTACTAAATGTCGCTGATGGTAAATCTTATGTTTTGCCATAATAAAAAATAAATAAACAAAGGAAAAAAATCAAAAAGCAAGAGAGGCAAGACAAGGATTGTGAATTGGGGTGCATTGTGGGTGATACAGCTACAAAAAGCAAAACTCAAGGAAGTGATTACTGTGAATGTCAAGACAATTAATTGCTGTGAATGTCAAGATGATTAATTATTGTGATTGGGATGGAGCACATGGAAGGGGCTTCTTGAGCTGCTGGAAAATCTCTATTATTTGACCTGGATGGGATTATGGGATTCAAAAAGAAGAGAGAGATGGGGGTGGGAATAAAGAAAAAACTCTTTCAGCACATTTAACCATGGTGTTTCTGTCCATTACCTATTTTCATGCATTTACACATTTCTTGGCTCCCAACCTCGTTCCAGGAAAGATTTAAAGGAGTCAAGCAAGAATATAAGCAGGTCAGGATAGTTGTGCTCTTACATGTCAGTCAAGTTCCTATGTTGTTGTTGTTAGGTGCCGTCAAGTCAGTTCTGACTCACAGCAACCCCGTGTACTACAGAACAAAACGCTGCCCGGTCCTGCGCCATGCTCACAATCGTTGTTATGCTTGAGCCCATTGTCGCAGCCGCCGTGTCAATCCATCTCCTTGAGGGTCTTCTTCTTTTTCCCTGACCCTCTACTTTATCAGGCATGATGATCCCTCCTGATAACATGTCCAAAGTTCCTACTTTATAGTATTTGGCAAATAAAATGGAGCCCTGGGTGGAGCAAACAGTTAAGTGCTTAACAACTAACGGAAAGGTTGGTGGTTCGAGTCCACCCAGAGGTGCCTTGGAAGAAAGGTCTGGTGATCTACTTCTGAAAAATCAGCCATTAAAAACCTACAGAGCACAGTTCTACTCTGACACACATGGAGTCACCAGGAGTTAGAATTTACTCAATGGCTACTGATTTGGTTTGGTTTGGGCATAAAAAATAAAGGTCCTTGTTGTCAAAATCTTAGGCATTCTAATGAGACCAAATAAAGCAACTGGAATCATTTGAACACCAGAAATTAGATTTACCTCTTCCTTAATTTTTTTTTAAATACAGGTAGTCCCTGACTTACGACAGGGTTCCATTCAGACAACTCCGTCGTAAGTTGGTTCTGACATAAGTTGAATATCTCATCTTTTTTGTTGTTGTTATTTTTGCCTTTTATTATCAGTATCTTTATAAATCCGATCTTTATTTGTCTTTTGGGGTTGGCGTGAGAATGATAACATCAGCAAATTACACGCTGGTGTTTCTGTTCCTGAGAGTCCCACAGAAGCGGCTGGGACCCGGCGTCCATCAGAAGACTTTGGTTTGCGCCACCTGCATCGGCAGGCAGGAGGCTCGTGCAGTGGGAGTGGACGGAACAGGAAGAGTACAACTGACCAGGGTTCAAAAGGAAGCCCAGAGTTAGCGCGAGCCATGGATGAGATGGGCTGGGGGAGGCCGCTAGGAGGTATTTCAGCCATTCTGTGGATCCAATAAGGAGATACCTGTGCTCAGGACCAGGCACTGCAGCTACCAGGGAGAGCAGTGTGAGGCCATAACGGCCATCCTGCGAGGGGCATGCTGCTAGCAGGAAACCCAGCCGACAAAAGGACCAGGTCTAGAGGAAAGCTAGGGCGTTTAAACAGAGACCAGTAGCAACCGAGCGAGTGGCAGAGGTAGCAGTCTATGCCCAAGGGGCTGCTGCTGCTGCTGTGGTGGTTGCTGCTGCTGGTGCTGCTGCTGCTGCTGTGGTTGTTGCTGCTGTTGCTGCTGCTGTTGCTGCTGTGGTGGTTGCTGTTGCTGCTGCTGCTGTTGCTGCTGTGGTGGTTGCTGCTGCTGGTGCTGCTGCTGCTGTTGTTGCTGTTGCTGCTGCTGCTGCTGCTGCTGTGGTGGTTCTTGCTGTTGCTGCTGCTGTTGTTGCTGCTCTTGTTGGCTCCCGTCAAGTGCCCACTAACGGTGACGCCATGCACTGTGGAACAAAACGTTGCTGGGTCCTGCGCCATCCCCATGATGGGTTTCGGGTCGGACCTTTGTGATCCATAGGATATTCATTATCTGTGTCATGGATTGAATTGTGTCCCCCAAAAGTATCTGTCAACTTGGCTGGGTCATGATTCCCAGTATTCGTATGATTGTGTAATCTGGTGTGATTTGCTTATGTGTTATAAACTCTGTCACTATGACGAGGTTATACGCGATCTCCTCATGTGTTGTAAACTCTATCACTGTGATGAGGTTATACTGATGACATCTACAAGGTTGGATAGTGTCTTAAGCCAATCTCTTTTGAGATATAAAAGAGAGAAGTGAGAAGAGACACATGGGAACTCATACCATCAAGAAAGCAGCGCCGGGAGCAGAGAGCATCCTTTGGACCTGAGATTCCTGCACTCAGATGCTCCAGACTAAGGGAAGACGGATGCGTCACAAGGACCTTCCTCCAGAGCCTACAGAGGAAGAAAGCCTTCTCCTGGAGCTGATGCCCTGAATTTGGACTTGTAGCCTACTGGACTGTGAGAGAATAAACTCCTCTTTATAAAGCCATCCACTTGTGGTATTTCTATGGGAGCAGCACTAGATGCCTAAGACAGTCCGATACTTGGAAATAGATTGCCAGGCCTTCCTAAATAATAACCCACGGTCATTCATTTTAAAGGTCCTCAGGGATTGGTTAAACTCCTGGTTAGGCATCAACCGAGGATATTTAGGAAGACTTTCACTTTAACACAAAACCTGAAAACTGATCTCTAAGCCCTGGGGGACTATGAAAATTCTTAGAAAATTTTTGGTCATTGTAAGTTATCTTGCATGTATACAGAAAGCTGACCCTAACTCTGATGCCAGGACTCTAGTGCAAAATAAATTCTAATGCTTTAAAAATTTTATATTTACTAGAATCCTACTTTCTGCTGCATTTTGAAAGGTTAAATATTTCAGAATTACAATTATATAGCCAATTGCACCAAAATAGCCTTATGAAGACAGAAGAAGAACAAAGACAAAAAAAATAAAAAGATAATTCTAAATCAAACCCTACTCGTTCAGACCGCTGGCTCATACCACTAACGGTAACTTTCCCAACCTTCTACCTGTAAAAAAGGAGACACATCATTGCTATTAAAGGAAATGAATGTTGCAAGAAATTATGGAGAAGGAGAAAAGGAGACATGAGAAAAATGTGGTAAAACTATTGGAAGTGAGGAGATAAAGTGATGCGTAGAAGTAAGCAAATAGACAACACATTTAAAAGAAACCATGAGAGCAGGTCTTATTTTAGGTTTTTTCCAACCTTCTTCTGACAGCCTATAATTTTCAGTCAATTAATTTTGGATCTGCTGGACAGGCACTTAGCACTGGGAACTACAATTTACCATGATGAATCACAAGGGAGGTACAGCTAGTCCTCAGCCATTTGTAGAATGTAACATGTCTGTTATACGGCTGTAGCTATAATTGCAAATCATATTATTGGGAAATACCCAGAGTTTTTCAATCTGGTGGTAGAAATTTTTTCAGTCACCTACGCCAAAATTTTATTTAAATCATTGCAAGATATACACACTATTTAGGAAAGCTTAAAGCTTGAAACCAGTTAATTTTTTTAAATATCTCCATTATTTCCATTCCCACAGAATAAGTATTTATGTAGGAAAACACTTGAGGTAGATATCCCCATGTTACAAATGAGAAAATAAAGATTGAGAGGTCAAGAAGCTTGTCCGAGATCAGATTTAGTGGTAGAGCTGGAAGTTTAAGCCTGGTCTTTCCATCTGGCCACCATCCTGTGCGTACCACACCAGGGCTGCTGGGAGCTGACT